CTCCAGAGAATTCTAGCGACGGCAGAGAAGCTACTCTAGCTCCTGGGCTTTTGTCTAAGTCACTTACGGTTGCAGAGTCAGTGTAAGATGCCACTCAGTCAGACAGACAGACAGCATTTGCATCCACTTTGCACAAAGCGCTGGCCACCGATGAATTAGGCCCTCGGAGTCTGGATAACGGACTGTGTCTGAAACACTACACCTGTCCATCTATCCCTAGTGAAAGGTGGTCTCTTCACAGATGCTTGGCCCTCCCTTGTTGCACAGTAACTTAACCAAAAATAGTTTACCATACAAATCAGAAAGAGTGATTATCTTTCATCTTATTAGGGCCTAGCTCATGACCTTGCGTTCCTTCAGAGACTACTGGGAACGGGATGATGGTCAGCATTCCTCTGGGTCATATAACCCTCTGCTTTCCCCTGCAGCTCTCATCTTTTAAGTTCTCTGTCTCAGACACTGGTAACTACGGATATGGCTTTGGGGAAGGTCTGGCAAAATCCTGACTCTGGGGAGGGAGAGCCATTTCTTGGTAGCACACAATGCACCTTCCTTCCATACTTCCTCCCCACCAGCAAAACATAGGAGATACACATGAGCTTTGTGGTGTTATTTGTTTCAGAAGAGCTCAGGGTCCCAGAGGCAGCTGAGAACCACATGATAAACTAGCAGCTCAAAGGAGTGCATATATTTTCAGAGCAGCAGAGTAAACAACTGCTTGAAACCATAATAATGGCTTGGAAAGGTCAATATGTAAATTACTAGCATCCTGGGGCTACAGTTACTTGCCCTCGTTTTTTAACATGTTGCCTAACAAGCTTGAAACAAACACACATTTCAGGCACGTGAATCTTCGCCCTGTCTCCTTCTAGTTCAAGCAGACTCTCTGTAATGTAGCACCGTGTGTATAAATAGATGAGATGCCCAAGAACCCGGAGAACAGGTGGCTAGAGCAGTGGTCTCCAAAGTGGGGTGCAGTGCGCGGCAGTTTGGGCAGCCTTTTTTTTTTTGCTTGGGGCAGCAAAAATGGTAGAGCCCCGCCCTGCGGCGCGGCAGGGGGTGCATGCTAAAAAATTTTTACTGATAAGGGTGCGCGATCAAAAAAGTTCGGAGACCACTGGGCTAGAAGAGCTGCAAATGCATAGGAGGGCCAGCTTTTCCTCGCTCCATTTCAGCTTATGGATCGGGCTCATAGACTTAGAGATACAGTATGGTCCAGTGGCCAGGGGGCTGGATGGGGACTTGGGTGTCCTGGGTTCTAGTCCCAGCTCAGTCAGCTGGGTGACCTCAGATAAGTCACTTCTCCATTTCTCTTCCCATCCTTTGTCTTGCCTGTTTAGACTGTACACTCTTCAGAACCATGTCAATACACCAATTGCAGGGGGTTAAAAACAATTCAGCTAAGGACCAGTGTATCAGTTCAAAAGGGGCTTACCGCAGTTTAACTTAGATCAGTAACTTACATGCAGGCTATACAGATATCAGCCAGGCTTTAAATGCAAGTGTCCACACAGAGTTTTGCATCAATGTAGCTAAATTGGTTAAAATAAAACCCAAACCGTTAACTGCTGCAACTTTGGGCATAGACCAGGCTCGTGTGTCTGTATAGTGCCCTGATCTCTCTTGGAGACTGTAGGTGCTACTGCAATACACATTAAACCTTGTGCTCCAAGGGTGTTTGTTCATTACTTTGGATTAACTCAGTACAGCAGCTTAAGCAAACTGTAAAGTTTCTGTTAGTTAGAGGCAGTGAAAATAGTGAAGTTCCTCCCCTTTACACTAGTGCTTCTTGGCACTAAAAAATAGGGTTTCCCTGACACAAACGCAGGCCAGTGGGATGGGGTTCTTGCACGTGTACAGTGAAAGGAATAGACAGAAGACATCTGAAGTCTAATTCCAGCATGTGCCGTGTATGCCTAGGCATAATGGAGTACACGCAGGTGTGCTACATCATACAGAGGAAGAATGTTCACTGAAAGCCAGAGCTATTCATTTCAAATATCTCTTATTAGCAGCCACAGAGTGCTGACTGATTTCAGACGCCTGGGTGATGATTTACATGAGAAGATACTCAACAAGCCTTTTCTACATAAGCAATTAAGAGGAAAAGCTGCTGTCATGGCCCAATTAATTTTCTATCCAGAAACAACGTTGAATAAATTAATCTAGTGACGATTAGCAGGGGGAAAATGGATACAGAATAATATCAGCGTGTTCCATTTCTCTGGCTGCGACTCACAGGAAATCCTTCATAGTCTTCTTCTAAATGACAAGCCCAGAAGGAATGAAAAGGGGAGAAGGAAGAATCCCTTTTGTGTAACTCCCTTCCAAATAAATATGGGTGGAAGTCCCAGCCATAGCATTGCGCATCATTTCATCCCTCGAATCATTTTCCTTCCTAACCAAGGCTTATAGGATGCTCCTTAAGGCTACCCTATGGAGGTATACGCCTTCCCTCCCCCACCTCGGGAGTTGAGCTCTTCCTCCCAATACACTATAGGAGTCTTGCTAATGTGAGCTATTTATCCTCTAACCCTACATACTGAATTGTACTGGTAATAGGCAGAATCCAATGTAACTTCAAATAACATGCCTATGCCCACTCCATAGGCCGCCATTCACTTATGGGACTGTCACATTAACAATAGATTTCTTGCACATAGTGCCTTTCATGCCAGGGGATCTCCAAGCATGTGCAAGCTGATGGAAATACAGGCTGTCCATGGGGATCAGATCAGCCAACACCAGGTAGAAATGCCGAAGCTGTTGAACAGCGACATCACAGATGAGTGCTGGACAAGAAGTTAGGGATACAGGGTGCATTACACTCCAGGAGGAACTTGGGTGAGGCCTCCTGAGTTGGAATTTGACCAGCATTGCACAATTAACCGTTTTATAAAAGTGCCTTGGAATCAGTAATAGTCACAAGTTGTCTGGGCCCCAGTTTGCCAATTCATTCAAAAGCTTGGCACCTCCAGCATTACTATGCCTTCTAACACCATGCTTGGGCACTCAACCAGTAGTGATTTAGCAAGAAACGTTCTCATTAGTACCACTTTCTGTAGCACCTAGGCACAGAAGACCAAGACCAGCGTGAAGATCTCAGGATAAGGCAATATGGGTACAAGTATGGGCACTGCAGAGAAATTGGCATCCTCTGAATTGTCACCAAAAACCATATCACTGCTGTCAGGTGTGCGTGATGTCAAGTTTTCCACCATGGGGGTGCTCTGCAGGACTTCTCCCTGCAGAGGAGCTGCTACAGGAAGAAGTAAGAGAAAGAGTTGAGGTGGGGAGAGCATGTGGTGGCAATGGAGGGCCCACCTGGCAGGGAACAGAGAGTCGGGGTTAGGTCCAGAGAAGGGGAGAATACAGGGAAAGCAAAAACACTCACACAAAGGAGAAAATGGGCAGAAAAGGCGTGATGGTGGCAGTCTTCTTCCTTGGCTCATTCTGTCTCGAATGCTATCTACCAAGGGAGCAGGCAGGGTTTCATCCTGAACACTACAGGCTGCTGCAATACCGGGGGGAAATGGTCTTAGGCTGCAACTATACTAAAGCACCATCCAGCTAGCACATTACAAATCGTAGCGTGCTCGCAGAAGCACGGGCAGTGGCAAGCAGCAGAATGGGCTAGCTGCCCTGAATGTGTGCCAACGGGGTCTGGGCAGGTTTGTCCTTGGGGCAGCTGGCCCATGCTGCCCGTGTTTCTGCGGGCACACGACAGTGTCGCGCACTAACTCTATGAGAGCTAGCACGAGTAAGTCTTCTTGAGGTGGGACTCACACCCTCCAAGTGTAGACGTAACCTTAGACTCTGACTTCTTTTTGTTAACCCAGACAAGCTTACGGACCAGTGGGATCAAAGACAAAGCCAGTCCTGGTGTAGGGACCAGTTACCTGATGCAGCCCCTGGTGCTTGTCATGGCCAGTCTGGCTACATTCCAGATCTGACTTAGAGGTAGAGCTATTTCTGGTAGCTTTGAGGAGAGAAATCAGTTCAAGGACAGAGTTTCCCCTGATTTATATGCTGTGTTGCATTTCTTCTCCCTCCCCCTCTCAAAGACACTGGGCCAGAACCAGTTTTGGATCAGTCGATTGGCATTAACAGGTAACCCAGAACAAGAGCAGGAACAGCATGGTGATCATGCTACATCACATCATAATGGTAAAAAATAAACGACCCTGAGAGATTTACTGGGACATATTTATATTTATATATTCCCTGATTTCAGTGCTTAGGCACCTTCCATAACCAAGCCAGTTACCCGTTATCTGCAGTAGGCAGAGGTAGCTGTGGATGGTGGCAATGGACGCTCCCACATGCTGGCCAACCCAGATGGTTCCATCCAAACTGGTGGGGCCACTGTTAAGGCTGAGAGGAGTTTGGTCTCTGTAGGCATGGAGCCTCTCCGCTGAGCCTGTCTATACAGTGCCGAGGGCAGATTCTGTCACGTGCATCCATGCCCACCAGGAACTGGACTGACACCCACCCGCTCACTTCACGTTCACCTAACAGCGGGTAGGGAGCCAGCAACTCTGTCACAACTGACTGGGTTGGACCTGAGCCAGCACCTTGAAGGTAAAAGCTCTGACGTTCATCAGCTCCGCAAGGCATCTAACCCGCCAAGCTTTATTTGTAAGAGCACCTTAGGAGAACGGATCAAGAGCATGCCCCATATTGCAGTGCAGTGCCAAGGATACCTTGTTCCCACCCTCCAACCCCAGCAGCCAGAAATGGGGAGGACAGGTGGACCCCAGCTTCAAATGTAGGATGTCTTTGTTAATTGCAAGAAGTGCCAGGGCTGCTTCATAGCATGAGTCTACACTGATCGTTTCTGACTGAGACCATGCATCATAGTCAATAAAGCAGCACTGTTTTCCTTTACTAGAGGAGGCAGAGGCTGGACGAGTCTAACCTGAAAAGGCAGCTAACAAGCAGACTTGCTCTGCCCCACAGAGCTGGCTAGTTCAAATGTCCTTGTTACGGCATTGTCCTACCTGCCCAGCCAGTGTAGCCAGTGCAGTCCCTGGGGTCGGCAGATTTCAAGCCTCTCTCCATCTGCTGAAGCAGCTCCCTGATCTTATTGTTCAGGCGCTGAGTGAACTCGGGAGTCAGCTGTGGATAGAAAAGGAATACCCTACATAAGTAAATATCAGCAAACAGATTGGGTGAGGGCTCATCAAATTGCTGCGAGCGTGCATGGCGGAGAGCAGGGATTACACTGGGGAACTGGGATTGTCAGTCAGCGAGTGTAGCCAGAAATGCTCAGTTTTGTATTTGGCTGGCAGTAGTAAAATGGACTGGAACCTCGGCCTGTTACCTCAGGGGCAGCCTTTTCCCACAGCTCTCACACACCACCTGGCCCTGGCCCACAGGTGTGGCTTGAGGAAGTTGAGAGTTTTCTTCCAAAAAGAAATCCCACTCAGCTCCACCCTGCTCCCATCCAGAATGTGGTGCAAGATGCAGCTCTGGCGGCTGGCTTTTCACTAACTGCCCTTGGATAGCTAGCTAGATTCTCTGTCCTTAATAGGGAGCCCAGACAGCAAATGTGAACAATCGAGATGGGGGTGGGCGGTAATAGGAGCCTATATAAGAAAAAGACCTATATAAAATTGGGACATCTGGTCACCCTAGTTGTTAAAGCTGTGGTACTGCAGGAGTGACTGGGGTGTTGTGATTTAATCCTTGTATTTGTGAGGTGACAGATTGAAATCTCAATGCTGGGCACTTTAATAATAACAAATTGCATGGGCTTGATTCTCCTCATTCACACCAGCATAAAAATTCCACTGATGTCAAAGGAGTTACTCCTGCTGTCCACCAGGGCAAGATAAGATCTTAAGAATTCAGGCCCTAATTTGCATAGGCTAGGCTTGACCTAGCTGTTACTAATAAAATGGGTTGTAGGAAACAATCCACGAAATGGAAATTCTTCCCTTTTCAACCTTCCACACCCAGTCTCCCACACGGCTAAACATGCTACATATTGACTTCTTTATATTTTAAAAACCTAGCATTCATCAAGGGATATTTGCTGTGGTTTTCCAAGCTGCTGGATTTTGGTACATGAACTGTAACACTTTGTTCATTCCCCTACAGGCATATTTTAATTGCTTTATCCTGGAAAAAAAAATAATGAAACTAAGCAATAGGCTGGAAAAAATGAAATTAATTTGTAGAGCTTGGTTCCATACTTACTACTATAACTGCAGCCCATTCATAGCACTGTTGGGATCACCACCTCTGGATCGCTACAACTGACTGAACAGGTCTATAGCGTAAGCCAGTCTAAGGACTGTGATATGGTACTGTATGTCACAAGATGGCATCACCTTATGCTAAAGCAGTGTTTCTCAAACTGGGGTTGCCACTTGTGTAGGGAAAGCCCCTGGCGGGCCGGGCCGGTTCGTTTACCTGCCGCGTCCGCAGGTCCGGCCGATCGCAGCTCCCACGGGCCGCGGTTCACTGCTTCAGGCCAATGGGGGCTGCTGGAAGCGGCGCGGGCCGAGGGACGTACTGGCTGCCGCTTCCAGCAGCTCCCATTGGCCTGCAGCGGCGATGGGGCAGGTAAACAAACCGGCCCGACCCGCCAGTGGCTTTCCCTACACAAGCGGCGACCCCAGTTTGAGAAACACTGTGCTAAAGTATCTACCATACTGTGTAGTTACATGCTTTTGTGATAATTCCAGGAGCACCCACCAATGTAGTAAGAGCCTTAAGCAATAACAAAGGGATTTGTTTTAACAAGGTTGGAATGTAGTTGAGAGCTCAGATGCATCAGAATGTTTTATGCCAAGGCTTGGCTGTGTATGCACACACACACACATACACTCTGCTTCCTACACACCTTTGCAGGGGGGCAATGTTTTGAAGGAAAGAGTATTTTTCTGTTTGGAATGTATGTAGTAAAAGTGATGGTATAATGTGGATGAGTATTATTAAACAGTGTGCCACAAGCATTCACACTGTACTAAGTTGTGTAGGCTAGAAAAGACAGCTGCAGTTTAGGCAGACCCCAGCTCATCAGTTTAAAAATCTAACCATGTCACAATCCCTTCATTTCTTTTGGTAGCCTGCCACTTAAGTAACTCAGAGACTCTAATCCATGCTGTGGTCTTTGGGTTAATACATTAAAGAAGGCACATCTCTTGGGTCCAATCCCCTGAGCTTGAAGATTTTGAACTAGTTCTGCTTGTTTGAGTCTGTTTTCCAGAACCTGTCACAAAAAGCGCTTTGTGCAATAAATTGTGATTATTGTTTTTAGTCTAGGGAATCTGGGTTAGATACAAGAGATCTGCTCTGTTAAATGTGTGACTAAAGACTTTTCATATATATATATAAAAAATATGCTTCTAAAATTGCTGAGAGGATAAAAGTGCAGTGACTCAGAACTGATTCGTTGGAGTCAGACTCTGGAAGCAAATCTCAGTGAAACATTGTGGAATAAAAACTTCAGGTAGCAACACCGCCAAATCAAGATAAACACCAGATCTTTAAGAACTTCCAAATCCAGAGATATACGGTGAAAGCTTTTAAGGTGCTTCCTAGCAGTGATGAGACAGCAGATATGTTGCCCCTTCAACTGGGAAGACTTCTGTGGTTGTGCATACGCTGCATCCTCAGAAATGGGACACTGCAAGTCTCCTCTGCCAAAGTGAAGCAGAAAGTATCAAGGCCCCTCTGTAATAACTACATGTCAGGGCATCTCTTCCTGGCTCTGAGATGCATTGCTCAAAAAATACAGAGCCAGTCTAAACAGGGTGGATGTGAGGCTGCCAAAGCAGACACCCCTGTGGTGTTTGAATGCTTCATCATCTTCACAATACTTAGCACTTACACAGTACATTTCATCTTCAAAGAGTATTACAGACATTAATTACTTAAGTTTCCCAGCACCTCTGTGTGGGAAGCTTTAATTTACTGATTGAGAAACTGAAGCACAGAGATTAAGTGACTTGCCCAAGGCCACTGATAGTCGGTGACCAAAATACAGGAGTTCCTGGCTCCCAGACATGCTCTCAGACCACACCTGCCCCCGAATGGCTGCAAGATCCTTTCATCTTACCTTTCCAGCTATTACCATAAAATGCAACACTGCTCCTAACCAAAGATCCATATCAACAGATACATGGGAATCGATTGGGAGACAGACACACACAGACTATACAATCTCTGTTTTTTACGCAGAATTACTGGGGCCTTATAAAGTCCCCAGGGGAAAGGGTCAGTGTTTCTGATTTGTGTCTGAGTGGAGTCTTGTCTTGTCTTGTCAGTATCCAATAAACCCTACAGCAAGTGGCAGTGGGAAAGCAAAAGCTTTGTTTATTTGCTTATAGTCTCAGGGTGTTTATCACACAAGTGAAGTCAGAATCCTGTTTGCAATGTCAGATAGCTGCTTCGGAAACTGGTTCTCTCCCCATATACATTCTCTTTTCTAAACTGTTAACACACCCCTTTGAACCCTCTCACAAGAGCCGGTGATTTGGATCACGCAGCACCAATGCCCAGGTGCATGGACTGACCTTTTTCTCCTGTATCCAAATCTCTAACCTACATTAGGATTTTCCCATTAGCCTTTGCCTCCCCCTTACAAAAGTTTAACTTGTCTCATGATTTCGTAGGATTAAACTAGACACTATAGTTGTTTTCAGTAACTGGATGAGGTGGCTATAAATGGGGAAACTGTCCCAGAGGACAATGGCAGATACCTGGATGCTGACCTGGCTCAGGTAAGCCTACGAGAAGGCTCAAGGAAACTCACAAAAACATTTCAAAAAGAAATGTTCGAGACACTATTAACATCGAATGTGCAAGCCCTGTCTTGAGGCAGGTTAGGAGTGCAATCCCTGCCTTTCTCCAGATCGACCGGGCACTGCTCCCATGCAGCACAGAAACAGGGGGAAGAAAAATTAAGCTCACACAAGCCCATGCCACTTGTTAAGAAAGAAACACTCCAGCGCCGTAAAATTAAGTCACTTTAGAGCCCCAACTCACCCGCCCTGAAGAGTCAAAGTATCCTGTGGCCAGGGATTTGTCATAGTCTGCGTAGGGATTCGGGAAGGCCCTTTGGGCCATAATGGCAACAGCAAACCTGCAAGAGAGTGAAGAGAAAAAGCTGGGATCCAATTATTTGAGCAGGCTGAGGCTAGTGCTTCCTGCTATGACAGCCACCTGCCCCAGGCCCCAGCTTCCTATCAGCTGCAGAGCAGACAGGCCAGATTCTGCAGCTGCCCCCACATCTAACACACAGGAGAAGATCTCAGGGATCTAAAGATGCAGCACAAAAGCCTACAAACATCCCCCCCCCCCCGCCCCCTTGCTGTACAATACAACTCCACCCGGAAAACAGAGGGAATCGTTGATGTGAAACCACGTTTCCCCCCACCTCACCCTGCAGCTCAGACAACAACAAGCAGAGATCTGACTTTTCCACCTCCCACTTCCTGCTGCCACAAGCCAATGAGAGCTCTAGAGAGCCTGGAGACCCAGCCACACACGCACACCCCCCTCCGGCTTCTTAAAGGGACAGGGAGTGAAGTCTACTTTTGCAGGGCTCTTTTTATGCCAATCCAAACTTTTGGGCAGTGTTCCCAGTGCTGAGCTCATGAAAGACGCTGAGCCCAGCTACCGGCCCTGCTCTGCTCTCCCCAGCACATTGTGTTCTGCCAATTTCCCAAGGGTTTTTTTTTAAGGGGTAAGATGGGTTAAGAATAATTCATATCAAATAATGGAGAGAGCAATATGTTGATTATTTGTAGACAATTAAGTAAATAGCCAACCTGGTCTTACACGCATCCACAGCAGAATTTTTAACATTGCTTATAAGACTATTGCACTTGTCCCTTTCCTAGCAGAATCCTGCTCTGGGTGTGTTAATGGTATTTTCTGTAAATTAGTGTCATGATTTGTATTACAGTAGTCCCAGCTGAGATCAGGCACCCTGTACATACATATACTAGGAGACAGATCTGCCCTTAAGAGCTGACAGTCTAAACAGAAATGGGTGTGGGGGGAAACTGAGGTACAGATGGGTGAAGTGTTACACCCAAGGTCACCCAGCAGGTCAGTGGCAGAGCCAGCAGCAGTTTAAGGAACTAGATCACTATTTTGAAGATGAAGATGTCTCATATTTGCAGTAGGTGGCTGGCCTTTCCAGCCTGTTATAAACCTCACATCTGCCCTCCTGCCTGGACCTCGATTCTCTGATCTGCTGCTGAAGCACTCCCAGCTGCCTCCCCGCCCGCTGCTGTACCGCACTCCCAGCTGTCTCCCCCTCCCCCCGACTCTCTCTCATCATTCACCCTCTGCCAGGAGAACCAGGTTTGGAGCAGAGAATTAGGCCAACTTTCCAATGTTGTCACAGGAAGGGAGGCTGCTGACGGTTGTGGTAGCTGTGGAGATGACTTTTTATGGGGTTCACAGGCCGCCGCGTCTGATGTTCTGAAGTGGGTTGCTGAGGGTGTTTGACCCTAGTCCTTGTTTGAAAGCCAGGGGATGGCAGATGAAAGAGGAGGAGATTGAAGGAGCATCTCACAAAGGGTCATAGTTTCTTGAGCCCTTTGCCCCTTGTGACAGTAGCCACTGTAATCGATGGATACTTGATCTTTGTCAAGCCTGACCCTGATTATGTGGCTGGTGGAGCCAGGGAAACAACATGCAGTTTCTCACTGACTCCTGTGTGTCAACCCCCTATTATACCCCTCACCTGAACACTCAGTGAACATCTTGCCTGCTCCGAGCTCAGGGGGTTACTCTTTTAGCTCAAGCAGTAGAGCAGGGATCGGCAATGTTTGGCCCGCAGCCTGCCAGGGTAAGCACCCTGGCGGGCCAGGACAGTTTGTTTCCCTGCAGCATCCACAGGTTCGGCTGATTGCGGCTCCCACTGGCCGTGGTTTGCCGCTCCAGGCCAATGGGGGCTGCGGGAAGCCATGGCCAGCTCATCCCTTGGCCCACACCGCTTCCCGCAGCCCCCATTGCCCTGGGACAGCGAACTGCAGCCAGTGGGAGCTGCGATCAGCTGAACCTGCAGACGCGGCAGGTAAACAAACCGTCCTGGCCCTCCAGGGTGCTTACCCTGGCGGGCCGCGTGCCAAAAGTTGCCGATCCCTGCAGTAGAGGCTCATACTTTTAATCTTAGATTCAAGCCCTACTGAGGGCCACATCCCCTAGTGCACCTCTTGTTACAAGAGTTCTACATAAAATCTATCTATCAGTCTATAGTTGCCTGTGGGTCTATGGCAGTGGTTCTCAAACTTTTGTACTGGTGACCTCTTTCACACAGCAAGCCTCTGAGTGCAACCCTCCCTTATAAATTAAAAACACTGTTTTTATATATTTAATATGATTATAAATGCTGGAGGCAAAGCGGGGTTTGGGGTAGAGGCTGACAGCTCGCGACCCCCCCCATGTAATAACCTCGTGACCCCTTGAAGGTTCCTGACCCCCAGTTTGAGAACCCCTGGTCTATGGAGACAGTTCATATCAAGATTGCCCTCTACTGGCAATAAGAATATGTGATATAGTTCATAAGATGTAAATTCAATAGAATTGTTACACACTACAAATAGCTTCCTGAGTCCAGCTCTTGCCACCTGTCTGCCTGGAAAGTTATAATCTGCTCTCCTTGATGGTATCTGAGCAGCTAGGGCCAGAAGTGTGTCAGCAGCAACTTGTTTCAGGCTCACTGAATTGCAATCTGGGACATGCCAACCCTGAGTGTGCTGCACTCCAGATCGGTAGCATTCCAGACTCCCTTGTGTCTCACAGTTCAGTGAGGAGGTGCGGGATGCGGCCAGCATTAAATGCAGCTGGACGCTAAATGCATGGAGTGGCAGAACACCAGCTAAGAGCTGGATCCATGTGAGTGAATCCCTGGGCCCATGCAGAGCCTTACTAAAGACAGTGGGGCTCTGTGGCATTGCAATCCACAAAGATCCAAGTGCAGGATCCAGGCATAAGGGTCTACTGGAACTGTTTTCATTTGCCATTGATGGGAACATATAAGAGAATATATTAGGATTTTGCATTCACCTTTTAGTGGATTATAGTGTATTGTACTTTCCAGTTTTCTGTCCATATGTCCTTTTTGTCCTTTTCTGTATTACAATTGATAAAATTAAAGATCAAAGAGTGTAATTTATTCAAAGAGGCAGTAGGGAAAAAATACAGTAACCTTCAATTTCAACTCCCCTTCCACACAGTGATTCCTACAGTACATAGTTCTGGTTGTTTAATCTGCAAATCTTGCCATCGCTGCATTAAATTCAAGGCAAACCAGACAAGTTGTGAAATGTTAGCATTCAGGTCAGTGAGCAGAGTATTGGCAGAAATAGTGTTGGGACTTTTGCTCATATCAAAATTCAGAGAGTTATAGAGAGCCCTGTAATATTGTCTGATATTCCCATGTTAGAATTATATCCTCTTTACAGTTCAACAGCAAAGATCTAACATAAAGCACATAGTTTTATCTTGAGAACTTCTTTTATCCCTGATTCATTTCAAGTTCTTTAAAAATAATAGCCACTTAATGAAAAGATCCTTTCCCCAAACTATCATCTTTTTTCTCCCCTTCACCCAACCCCCAATACAAGAGATTCTAGTGTTGTTTAAGGGGTCAGTGTCAGTTTAGTTTAGGCCTCTCTGGAGCTGTCAGTGCCCAAGATGACTCAGGAGTGACCTGCTGCTGACATCACTTGGCCTGGCAATGTACTACGGTTCCCCAGTAATCTCCCCAAAGCCACAGGCCCTGTGGAGATGGTGAAAAGAGTGGAGGAACAAACATACAGAAATCAGCATGAGAGAGAGAAGCTGCCATGTTAGCTTTAGAATACCAGTCATTCTGGGTTTATTAGTGAAAAGCTTAAACAGTGCAAATCTGCTCATTTAGAAAGCAGTCAGTCCAGTTGCCACTGTCCCCACAAAGTGACACAGGAGCTCCAGTGTTGTGCCTGTCAGTGATTTATGAGACATCAGAACAACTTGCCACTAGTTGGAAAAGGTGCTAAGCCGCGAGCAGCTGGGTTTTAATCTCTTTTGGTTTGCAAAGATCGTATTTCTGAAGGTCAAACCGCTCTCCAGCAGCTGATGATCCTATCACAAATGTTCCTGTTTTCATTAATTTATAAGAAAAGCAACCTAGAAACAGAAGGTTTGATTTGTTCACTGTACCTCAGTGTCTGCGACATCTCCCTTTTTGTCCTTAATCTTTTGGTTTTGAGCAGAGAATACATACAATAGTGTAACAAAGCCGTGATCACCTAGGACATAATTTTTCAGTACATGATGGCTGCTCAAAGCTTCATGGCAATATTGGGGTTAGAACACAGAATCTCCTGCTCCAAAAGCACAGGACACCACCACATGCACTAAATGAGAATCCCTGTTAGCTTTTAGCAGTATGGGACCTATGTGATACAATTGAGCAGTTCTGATTTCATCCAGTAGATGGGAAGTGTTACCCACGCCATCCCACCAGACACAACCCTAGCTAGTTAATTATAGCCTCAAGATGCCTGGCTGAGGATTTTCCATTTTGGTCTGAAACAAGCTGTTTCAATACCTCTGCCTTGAAATGAAATATCCTGCCCCAAACACTTCATTAAGTGCCGTCTGAAGATAGATTTTTCAAAAATTGGCATCATGTTTAATATACTCGGACTCTCTCTCCCCATGACTCTAATGCTGCTGGTTTCTTCTTCCTCATTGGTTCTTCCCTAGTCAAAATTCTGACAGGATAGAACAAGAGAGCGGAGTCTCCCAGTGATAATCATTCGCCTCTCTTACTCATGATTTATTCAGCAACAGCATAGCTGGAAATATTAAATGCATAAGCTTGCAGTCCAGAGTGGGCGTCATAGATCAAAGCCTACAACACATTTTATTCCCCTTTAAAAAAGAGAAGAAAAAGAAAACAAAATCAGATGTTATTTCCATCATAAAACTAGCCATAAAACAGCGATGATCCTAGCACCTTTGTTGTTCTTAAAGATTAGAGCCATGGCTCACTGTATCTGACCTTGGTCAAAACTTTGACATAGTAAGACACTGAAAATCATAGTGCAGTTCTGAAGTGAAACAGAAGGTTTTCAGGCAAGGCGAGGGTCATAATTGGCCTTGCGGTGATAAAAACCTTTCATTTTAAAGGCAAACGGCCAAGATGAGAAAATCAGGTCCTTCATTATCTGCTTCACTCCGATTTCCAATGGGAAGGAGACCACAGCACAAAAACTTCTAGCTGCACTAATAGTGAGCAGTCTCAGCACAGAGGCCAAGGATTATAAAGGGTATTATGTGACTGAATTGTCTGCGATAGCAGGGAACTGGGCTGAAGGACTTAGGAGGTGCCTTCCAGTCCTATGTTCGTATGACTGAACCATTGGGGGTGGAAAATGAACGCCTCTGGCAGTTGTAGCAAATATTTACCTGCAGATTCCAGCTGAGCCTCTAGATGTCGCTGTGCTACAGTGAGCACTCCGGATAACCTGTGCTTTCCCGTCACATGCAGCAATA